TAACAAATAAATAATACTCACTAAATACTCACTAAATACACAATAAATACGCAAAAAATATGTAGAAAAAATTAAATACACAAAAAATACGCAACAAATAAGCAGTAAATACGCAGCATCCGAACCTATCACTGCGTTCGGACTGCGTACACAATAATTTCTCGTTCCCGAGAGGGATCTGCTACGTGAGAAGAAGGCATCGCCGATGCTACATCTTATGTTTCCTCACCTCGACGGCAAACAGGCGCCAATCTAGCTTTAGCAGCTTGAGCCATGCAGTAATCTAAAAGCATTCAGGCTTCGGTGGAACATGAGACAAAGTACAAATTTTTGTCTGTTGAAGAAATTATTTTCACTCTTCCCTTGCTTGACTTGCAGTTTTTTTAGAGGCACGAGTTTTGATCTGGTTACGGTTACACCTGCGATTTCAAATCTTCTTCTTTTCAATCTTCCTGCTTCGTACCTTTAAGACATAGTTTTAATTTCTCTAACTTCAACCATTTAATTACATGTTTCATTGATTTTTTATGTGTTTTGTTATTTGTTTTTGATGTAGTGCTAAATGGGTCTTGGACTCCATACTCCTTGCCATACCAGTATACAAGAGGATGTTGAGAATCAAATGTACTCATTTGGTTTTTTTTTTTTTTTTTCGAGTATCTTTTAGTTTCTGGCTCCATGACATTTTGTCTCGTTTCATATCAAAGTTGTTGGAAATACAAACCCATATTTTAAGATCAAATTCCTTTGTCACTTTACATCCATGTGCAAGAGAGTTGACTTCCCCACACCACCAAGACCTACTATAGATAGCGGAGAAATGATGAGAATTACTAATTGTGCAAAAGTCCATGGTATGCATTCCTCCCCTAATGCAATGTAGTAATAAAAAATTAACTGATTTGGCCATCCTGTGTGAGAACCGGGAGCCACATGATGGCCAGACCACCTCCTCGTGTGGGAACTTGGGGCCACAAGGTTTTTCGTTTTTTTTTTTTTTTTTAAAATCTTGTGTTTAAGTTTAATTATTGAAATTGATATTCATATTTGTTGAACTTGTGTTTTGAATGTGAAGAAATTGTATTTGTATTTTGCTAAATCAATCAAATGTGCAGAAATTAATTCTAATATTTGCTAAAATCAATGATAGATTATCATATAATTATGTAAATTTTATTAATTAATAATAATATTATTATTTATTACATCATCCAATTCAACTGATCGAATTGGTTGAACTATGAACATCTCCTTCATCTGGTTTGTTGTCTGGTCCGATTTTCACAATCTTGATTAGTATCATTATTATTATTATTATTATTAGGGAAATTTACATACCAATATATACTTATTATTTTACATATCTAACACCTCATTTTTAAATAATACACTTATACCACTCAAATCCCTATTTCACCTCAATTCTACCACTCCGTCTATCGCGCCGTCTACCGCATACATTACGACGTCTACTTCTCGCCGAAATCAGCTCTTTGCGCCAAGCATGTCCCAAACTTGTTTCCGTCATAAGTTTCCTAATCTTGGCATTCTGCTTCTCCGCAGGTTATACTTCTCACGACGTTCATAAAAGTAGCTTGTTGCCAAGTGAACATTTCCCTCCGATCTTTGCCGTATTATGCTTCAGGCATTCTGCTTCCCAGGTTCTTTTTTACTGCTTTATGCTTCTGGCGTTCCTCATTTTGTAGATTAAGCATGTTCGTTTAGCAGTAAGATTACTGTATACCTATTATTAAGGTTGCTAGTGAAGTAAGCCATGCCCGTTTGTTTTAGTTTAGAATGAGAACGTGGTTTTTTTCATCCTAAAAAAGTTTGTTTTAGTTTCACAGTAAAAGAAGTTTATTTTTCTTGTTGGTAAGCCATGCAATTGATGTTGATTATGTAATTTGTTTACTAATAACGAAGGAGGTTTAGCAGTAAAAGAAGTTTATTTTTCTTGTTGTTAAGCCATGTAATTGAAGTTGATTATGTATTTTTTCATTGATACTGCAAGCAGTTTTGCAGTAAAAGAAGTTTATCATTGTCGAAGCAGTTATTGATGTGTTCCAAGACGACTTACTTCATGAGTATTAATTGATTGATTTAAAACACCTTATAAAATTTTAAATAACATTTTCATCATTGATACTGCAGGCTTATGGTGACAATGTTGGAAATAATATATACAAAGAGAAGAAAGAGTATATTTCTGTTGTATTTAAGTATGGAGGAATATGTGTTCAAACCAATGACCAACATAGAAAGAGGTACGATGGTGGCAAACAAAGGACTGTAAAAATTGAGAAAGAACAACACACTATATTTTTGCAGTTAGAGCAGAGTTTGCCCGAATATATCCTTGGCTCAAGGGACATCCATATAATATGTATTATTACATATATGGAGCATCACCTAAAGAATACAACGATCTAAATTCTGACGTTGAGGCATCTGAGTTCATAAAAGTATCTAATGATAATTTGCATGTTGAGATAGTTATTATAGTACAAGAAGTAGAAGGACATGAATCTATGTCCAATCTAAGGGAGTTCGTAAATTCTGAACAGATGGTTAAAAGTTCTTTTGACTATAATGATTGTATTTCGAGTGTTCTAGGTTTATGTTATAAAGATATAGCTGTTGGCACATATTTTCCTGATGCAATAACTTTCAAGTATACTTTGTGATCAGTTGCCATCAAGGAGAATTTTGGTGTTAGGATTAAGGCTAGTGATAAGAAACATGTTATTGCTACATGTTCTTATCAAAGTTGTCAATGGAGAATTAGAGCTTCCCTATGTGAAGATGCTCAAACTTTTGAAGTTAGAAGAGTTGATGAAGTTCACACGTGTCCGGGCATCAACCGTACTGGGAATAAACTAGCCACATCTGTATGGGTTGCCAATGAGATTCAAGAGATGGTCAAAAGGAATCCTGACATTCCTCCAAAAGATATCAATAGCAATTTAGAGAAAGAGTATGGTCTTTCATTACCTTACATAAAGCTGTGGAGGTCGAGGGAGCAAGCTCGTGATAGTATATTTGGCTCTGTTGATGATAATTATAAATGGGTTCCCTCACTACATACTAAATTGATTGGTAGAAATCCTGGTTCACATATCACATACATGTATGACCAACATGATAATTCATTTCAGAGATTTTATGTAAGTTTTAAGGTGTGTACAGATGGATTCATGTATGGTTGCAGACCTCAAATCAGTTTGGATGCATGTCACCTCAAATCCAAGCACCTCGGAATGCTTTTATCAGCAACCTCACTTGATGGTAATAACAGTTTATTTCCTTTAGCCTTTGCTGTTGTTGAAACTGAATCTAAGCAGACATGGTTTTGGTTCCTTCATAACTTGGGAGAAAGTATTGGTACACACATAGAACCTCTTGCATTCATTTCAGATATGGAGAAGGGCTTGGGCGAGGCCATTAAAGATGTATACCCTATAGCTGAGTATAGAATTTGTATTCATCATTTATGGAAGAATATGAAAAAAAGTTTTCATTGTAAAGTTGGACATAAACTGTAAGGTTTGGTTTGGGCAGCATCTAATGCGTACACAACGACAGAGTACAATGACAAGCTCGCTAAATTAAGTGTACTATACCTGACCATCTATGTGTACCATATCTCATTACCTTACAAGTGGTCACGAAGTCTGTTTATGTATGGGATATACCATAGTACAAATACCAATAACTTTGCTGAATCATTCAATGCTTAGATAGTGGAGGCTAGAAATAAACCTGTTGTTGATTTAATTGACATGATTCGTGGTAAACTCATGGAACAAAGGGCTACACGTAAAATGACAAGTTTGACTTGGCAACGTGAAATAGTTCCTCATGCTGAAGAATACATAAGAGACATTACTACAAGAAAAGAACATTTAATAATTCGCCAATCTACTACTTTCAAGGCTGAGGTGGAATCGCTCCATTCAAGACTATTGTTGATGTTGAGAGAAGAGACTGTACATGTAAAGTATGGCAATTAACATGACTTCCTTGCATTCATGCCATTGCTTTCATTGGGATGAAGAAGCATCCACTATGGCATACATACGTTCATGATTACTACTACGTTCACCGGTAACTCTAACATTTGATTATTTCAATTTCCACATCACACTTGCTACACTAATTTCAAGTTCTTTAGATACAGGCTGGCATACGATGGAGCAATTGGCATGTTACCTGGGAAGGATCAATGGCAAGTGATTCACGATACTGTTGAGATTGGAGCGCCTAATACATCAAGACCTAGAGGAAGACCCAAAAGAAGAAGATTGCCTAATTTTTTGGAAAAAGGACAAGAAAGTACATAAATGTAGTAGGTGTAATCTTTGGGGTCATCATCGAAGTACATGTAAGAACCCATTACAGAAGAACATCAATGACACAATTATAACACAAGTAAGACAACCAAAGCGTCCAAAGTTGCAAAGTAGAAGGGCTGTAGAGGAGTTGGGAGATGAGTACGAGCATTCGAATTTTGAAGGTTTTTAAGTAAATGTTCAGGATTATTTTGGGTTTGACTTCTTTTGGGACAAATGTTTTGAGTAAGATTTTTGTGGTCTTCAAAATTAACTTATAAACCATTCTGAATTTGTATATTGAAGTTCCGTGTAAACTTTTTTTGTGTTTGTTTTTAATATGAAATAGATGCTTTTATTCCAGTTTATGCAAAACCATCTGCAGCTGTTTACACGGAAGACCATAGGTTCAGTACAGTTATGCACTTAAGCAAAATTTGCTGCTGAAATTTCATATAAAATTTGAGGCTGATGTTTAATTTAAATTTCGGTTCTTTGTATGCAGATGCAAAACCATCAATCCCAGTCGTGAAGGTTTTTAAGGATTGATTTCTATTTAAGTAAACTTGCTACACTATATCAGCAAAATTAGATGCTTTCATTCCAATGATTTATCTCTAATATCACAAACTTATAAGTACAGAGAAATTTCTGTTAAATTTCAGTTCTTTGAACCTTCTGAAAAATTGTTTCAGAAAAAATTTGCTACTGTTTAACTTAAATTTCGGTTCTTTGAAAACTGTATAATCATTGAGGATGGAAATAGCTCTTGCATTCATTTGAGGCTATTGTTTAAGTTAAATTTTCTGCTGTTTAAGTTAAATTTTGGTTATGTTATACATAGGCGATGAAAACTGTACAGGCGATGAAAATTGTATAAGCATTATACAGGCTGCTGTTTAAGTTAAATTTGCTGTTGTTGTTGTTGTTGTTGTTAAATTTCAGTTATTTGAAAACTTATAAGTACAGGGAAACAATTTGCTGCCTGAATTCATTTGAGGCTAGCTCATGTCATAGCACAACCAAATTAAAAACCAATACTTCTTTCATTCCACAAAAAACTTTGAAGATACAAAATACTAATACAAAAGGCTAGCTCAAGGATTGTAGCAGTTAAAGTTTAGAGAAAGAAGCCGTGGGAAAGTCTAGAAAGAGAAACTGTTTCTTGATTTTGATTTTTTGCTTTCGCGGGCTTTCTACGATCGGATCGACCAGGTAGTATGGTGATTCCGGACCGCCGGCAGCGGCTTGCCGGCGGTAATCCTCCTACCGAACTTCATCGTAATGTTCCTTTTAGATCTTCTGATTAGAAACCCATCAAGATTCGCAACGATTTTTTGGATAAAAAATCGACCAGAACTTCATCTAATCTGGTTATCAGGGAAGGTTATAGGCCTCATTTGAGATTAGAACCGATATTGGAAGGTAAAGGTAAATATGTTCTTAATGATCGAATTTCCGAGGAATATGTAAAACCAGTTTTTTCTGAGAAACTGGTTACAGAATCGACGTCGTCTTCAGATTTTGTTCTGAAAGTTAAGAAATTCGTTGGTATGCATGATTCGGAGATTCATAAATAAATTAATAAAAATCTTTCGGTTGATTTTGAGAAAGATGGAGATAATGTGGATGATGTCGTTAAGATGAATGCCGAACCTGTTCCTATAAATAAATTTACGTCGACCTGGCAAAAGACTCAGCATATCAAATTGAATTTTAATATAAATTCTACCCAATTATCTGAAGATGGTTTGGATGTTAAGCTTAACACAAAAAAGGAAATGGCCAACTCTCAAGTTTTGAAGAAATCACTGGTTATCAAGGTGCTGGGACAAGATGTTCCTTTCTCTATTTGTAGTCAAGAACTTTGACGGAAATGGAGCAAGTATGGCAGTTTTCATCTAACTACATTGGGATGTGACTAGATTCTGTGTTTGTTTTCTAACATGGAATCCATGGAGGAAGTATTAAGGGGGTCCTTGGTATATTGGGAACCATATTATCAGGATGGATAGATGGTCTTCATCCTTCTCCACGGAATCATTAAAATGTATTACTTCTCCGGTGTGGATTCAGTTTCCTGGTTTACCCTTAAGCTGCTGGGACGATGAAAATATTCCCATGATTGCATCTATGGTCGGATCTCCTATGATGCTTGATGGAAATTCTTTCAAGTGGGGGAAGAGGGAATATGCTCGTTGCTGTGTTCGTATTGATTTGGAAAGGAAACTCCCTAAGGGAGTGTGGATTGAAGGAATACATGGGAGAACATTTCAAAGAGTGGAATATGAGAAGCTGACATCTCTCTGTTATCACTGTGGAAGAGTTGGGCACAATAAAACTGTTTGTCCAGAAGCTGTTATAGCACCGGATAAGGAGAAGAATGTTCATGAAGCAAAGGAAGTATTGAAATAGAGTAATGATGTAAAGGATGATGGGTTAAAACAGCACAAAAGTGAAGAGTATGGCCCATGGATTCATGTTAACTTCAGAAATAAAAGATTCAGGAATGTAAGAAGGAATAATGGATCAAATGTTCAAGGTAGACAGGTTTATAAACCTGTTGAGACTGTAAAACAGACTCAAGTTGTTGTACAGCTGAGTGATCCGGTTAATTCAGAAGAAATGCAAGGCAATTTAAATATACCTGAAGAGATAACAGCTAACGCATCTCCCCAAGGAAGAGAGAGAAGCTCCACAATTCAAGGAAGGATTTGGAAAAGACTTTGAAGATTCGGGTGCTAAGGAGATGAGAAAGTAGAAGGTGGCCGGTCATCTATGGATGACCGGAACACCAACTCTATTGTATCTACCGCGAATCCAATTATGTTGGATTCAAAAGGTAGACTCTCATTCAAACACATCTCCCCTCTCAATTTTCGAGTTTTAGAATCTCCTCTTGTTATCAAAAAGGGAGGCTTGTTTGCCAAAAACAAGCTTCTATCGGATTTGAGTAAAGGGAAAGAGGTAATGTCATTTTCTAACAAGTTACAAAAATCCCCTTTATCTTGTTTTATTTATGGAGCAAATGACAAGGAAGCTTCTTCTTCAAGGAGGAGTTTTGTTGATATCTTAAAGAATGACAAGGTTATTGACAAGGATAATGTTAATATCAGTAATCCAATTACTTCTTCTAATATTGAGAATTCTAATGTGTGGATAAAAAACCACACATTAAGATTAATTGGATTAAAAATCAAGAAGAGATGGAAGATTCAAATGTTGTTAAACTAGATTTGGATAAAGAAAGATCTAATATTCAAGTTTTGAATAAATCGTTGGTTGTTAAAATTCTTGGGAAATATGTTCCTTTCTCAAAATGTGCCATTGAATTAAGAAGACAATGTGAGAAATTTGGAAAATTTCACTTAACTTTGCTCGGCCTAGATTGGCTACTTTGTTCCTTTCAATCTCATGAAGCCATGGAAGAAGTTCTTAATGGTGGTCCATGGTTTGTAGGGGGTTTTGCAGTTGGGTTAGACAAGTGGTCTCCTAACTTTTCACCTAAATCATTGGAAGGTGTTTCATCTCCGATTTGGGTTCGTCTTCCTCACTTACCCTTCACTGTTGGGATGAGTCCAATATTTCTAGAATTGTCTCTAGAATTGGGACCCCGTTACTTTTGGATGGTAACATGTTTAGGTGGGGGAGGAGCGAATTTGGTCGAGCATGCATTAGAGTTAATTTGAACTCCAAACTCCCTGCTGGTATTTGGGTAGAAGGATTGAATGGTAGATTTTTTCAAAAGTTTGAATACGAAAATCTATCATCTCTTTATTTCAAATGTGGAAGAATAGGGCATTTTGATTCTGTTTGTCCTAATGTTGAAGAAATCCCTTCCACCTCAAACCATAATGATAATCTTTATGGTCCTTGGATGCAAGTTAAGTTCAAAAAAAAAAAAGAAAAATCCTGTGAGAAACAGTTTTAAAACAAAGGTTTTTTCAAAAAAAAAAAAAAAATCTGGATCGGTTTGTACAAATGAAGATTTTGTTCTTGCTGAACAAGGAAATATTATTCAACCATTGGTAGATGGGAACAAGCTTGAAGTAGTATCCGATCCAATGAAAATTGCAGGATTCAAAAGCCAAAATCAGGAAGTTGCTGAATTCATGGAAGAAGGAGAAGTGACGGTTATCCAGAATTCAAATTTGAATTCATCCCAGCTTGATTCTCGGAATCCAGGCACTATAGCAAATTCGTTTAAAGATGTAGATGATGTGGATAATATGGTGGACGGTTTGTTAGTAGAGCCAAGTCAAATTGTAACCGAATTTGCTAAAAATCTGGACATTCAAAATTCAAAATTTGAATGTATAGAAAATGTGATAAAAGCTGATTATCCGTTATCTATAATTGCTGCTATTAAATCAGTTGATAATTTGACCAATTCAAAGGTTGTTGAACCAGCTTTCTCTCCAACAAACAAAGCTCTCAATTTTGAAATTCCATAAACTTTGGAGGCTGAAATGGAGAAGGAACAGATTTCGAATATGACTCCTTCAAAGACAGATAGGATTTTAAAAACAGATATTAATAAAATTGGTCCAAGAGATAGTTATTCAGGAACTATTTCTCCTTCTTCATCTATCAGTTTAAGAATAAAAAAAAACTGCAATTATGAAGAATAAAAGTTCCTCTACTTTGGAACTTGGCTCTTCCGGTTCAAGACACAAGTTATTCAAAGAACTTCAAGCACTAGGACCGGTGAAAGAACAAAATAGAAGAGGGAATTCTGGTTTCAGATTGAAGAACGACTTCAAAGGTTCTTCTAAAACATCTCAATAATATGATAGTTGGTTTATTCAAAGCAATCAGTATATTGAAGAAATACCAGAGGTTTGAACAGCTGTTCAAAGTTTTTTCTTTCCTTTTACTTCAGAATACATCAGTGGAAGATTAAAGAGACATCTAAAATATCTACGAATGCTACTCTTAGGTGTTTTAAGTTTGTCTTGGATTTTATGTATTTTTCTTTTGGTTTACTATCTTAGTTTTCTTTTTTTTTAGTTCAATATTTGTTTTTTAAATCTATTATACTTGCTAATGGGATCGTTACTACATCCTATTCTTTATCCGGATGGGAACTCTGGGATACTAATCAACCCTTGGGTTGTTTCAAATTTTGGTATCCCCTGCATCTCAACGGTTTCAAAATAGGAAATAGTGGGTTTCATTTCAATTATAATATGGTTTATTTAAACAAATATGCTGTTAATAAGGATCCTTTTTCTATTGATCAAGGATCTATTTGTTTTTACTTCCTAGTTTGTAATAGTTATTTTTCTCCATTTTAATGCAAATTTTGCATTCTCTCAAAAAAAAAAAAAAAAGAAAAAAAAAAGAAAAAAGAAAAAAGAAGAGATAACAGCTACCGAAGATATTCGGATTCAGGATATCCCTGTTATTTTGAATAAATTTCAAGCTTTGCACAGTAATCTGGAAGAAGGAGAAGTCATATAGATGGCTAGTACAGAACCGCTTAACAAATCCAAGAATAAGGATTCTAATGAAGCTAATATTAATCCAGAATTAGTTGTTTCTAATTCTATACAAGATAATAAAGATCAATTGTTATATGTAACAAATTCAGGTAAATTCAAACTTTCTAAAGAATTGAGATCCTTGGGACCTATGGAAGCTGATCAAAGGAAGAGGAGAGGGGAGAAGAAAAATAGCAAAATGAAAGGGGATAATTCCCCTATTGTTTCTTAATGGCTTCCATCATTTTTTGGAATTGTAGGGGGCTAGGAAGAGAGAGGGCTCCTTATATCTTAGAGAGATTGTGAAAGACAATAAGGGCTTTTTGTTGGGTTAACTGAGACGAAGATGTCTTCTCTTGATAGGAATGATATCAACCTGATTATTGGAAATGAATGGGATTATTTTCATCATTCGGCTATTGGCATTTCGGGTGGAATTTTGGTGATGTGGAAAAATAATTTAGCTTCCTTTGAAGTCATTGAACATTCTTCCCAATTGATTATGGGAACTCTCAACATCAATGCTTTGGGAAAGTGGAACATAGCGACTGTCTATGGAGGTAAGGATGCTCAAACCCGTAGAAGTCTTTGGCAAAAGCTTGAAGGTTGTATGATTGGTGATGAACCAGGAATTATAGGGGGAGATTTCAATTGCATCCTCTCTAAGAAAGATAAGAAGGGTGGGAAGATGTTCCATTTCTTTAATGGTTCTAAAGATATGAATATGTTTTTGATGAATAAGGACTTCCATGATATTGTGTTTGTGGGTCCAAGCTTTACATGGTGTAATAATAAAGAAGGAACCTCTAGAATTTGGTAGAGATTAGATAGATGTTTATTAAATTCTGCAGCTTTTCACAAAATCCCAATGGCTAAGGTTCGCCACTTATCCAGAGTTGCTTCGGATCATTCTTCTATCTCCCTCAATTTGGTAGAACCTCAAAATCAGAAATATGATTTTTTAAGATTTGAAGACACTTGAAAATCTTATCTAGCCACTTGGAACATACTTTAAAAGCATGGAGAAAATCTAATTTTGGTACTAGTGCTGAAATCCTTCAAAGAAAGTTGAGAAGAACATTAAAAGCTCTCTATTTTTGGAATAAGAACAAGTGCAAAGAACTGAATTTGTTGAAACTTGAGTTGAAGAAGGATATATTACAGCTGCAGTTTGAAGAATCCAGTGCTGGAGGTCTTACGGCTAAAAATCTGAAACTTTTGAGAAACAAAGTCCATGATCTTAATGTGACTTTGGGAAGACTATCTACTTGGTGGAATCAAAGAGCAAAAATCAGATGGAAGCAAGATGGAGATATAAATTCCACTTATTTTCATCAATATGCTTCGGCCAAGAGGAATGGGAATATGATTTGGCAAATCAAATATGAGATTGGGACTGTTGTTGAAGATTTTGAGCAAATTGAAACTATTTTTTACAAGTTTTTTCAGAAAAAGTGGACAGCAAGAGAGTGCAAGCTGACAGGATGGCCTTCATTTCCTAAAAATATGAGAATTTCTCATGAAGATGCAAACCCGTTGAATGTGGATTTCACTAAAGAAGAACTGATCAAGGCTATCTTCAATCAAGGTAACAACAAATCCCCTGGTTTATATGGCATCACAACTTCTTTTTTCAAATTTTATTGGAAGATTGTGGAGGAGGATACATGGAAGGCTATTGATAGCTTTTTTAAAACTGGTATTATGCATAATGAGTGAAAGGATACACTAATTGTTCTAATTCCAAGAATCAAAAAGCCTATTAATCCGTCTAACTATAGGCCCATAAGTTTGTGTCAAACAACTTTATAAGTTTGTGGCTACCATGATTTTAAATAGAATGAAAAATTACATTACCAAGTGTATCACTGAAGAACAAGTTGCTTTTCTTAATGGTAGATCAATGTCTGATCATTGTCTACTAGCTCATGAGGTATTCCATAAGCTTAGAGTTTCGAAAAGCAAAAAAGGTTTAATGGCGGTTAAGCTTGATATGGAGCAAGCTTATGACAGTATGAGTTGGGAGACTTTATCTCAAGTCTTAGAAATGTTTGGTATTCCAAGGAAAATGTCTATGCTTATTATGGAATGTGTTAGGAATGCTAGATTCTCCTTTATTGTTAATGGTAGAGCTTCCAAGTGGATTATTGCAGAACATGGCTTAGGCAAGGGTGCCCTCTATCGCCATATCTGTATATTATTTGCTCTCAGTTTTTTTCTTTGGCAATGGCACAAAGGGGTCAAGATTTGGGAATTCAGGTTTCACATAGAGCTCAAAAGGTTAGCCATTTGCTGTTTGCTGATGATGTATTGCTTTTATCTCAAGCTTCAAAGCATCTTGCTGTCAAGTTGAATAACATTGTGTTGGACTTCTGTTCTTGGACTAGATTAAAAGTTAATAATGCCAAATCTCAAATTTTGTTTAGCAAGGGAATGAATAGAGTGGACATCTTACAAGTGAAGAAAATTTTGAAGTTCAAAACTGTTAAAGAATTACAGTATCTTGGGGTAAAGCTGATGTTGAGAAGACCTTTGAAAGCTTATTTCAAATTTCTTCTGGATAAGGTTATGCAAAAGCTGAACACATGGGGAAGTAAGTGCCTGTCATTGGCGGGGAAGGTTACTCTTGCTAAGACTTCCCTCTTAACTCTACCGAACTTTATTTCTACACACACTTTGGTCCTAAAGAAGGTGCTTCAAGAGGTTGATAAATGTTGTAGAAAGTTTATTTGGCATAAGAGGAATGGAAAGAAGGGTATGCACTACATTGCTTGGAAAACTCTTTGTAAATCAAAAGCTCAAGGAGGTTTGAACTTTCACTTGGCGGTTAGTAGAGCTAGTCCTCTCAAAGCTAGATTGACTTGGAGGTTGATACAAAACCAGAATTCTTTACTGCATCAGGTTCTAACAGCCAAATATGGAGACAATTTGTGGAAAGCTAAGTGTAGAAATGGTAGTTCAATTCTTTGGAAGATTTTGAATGAAGGTGCTGAATACTTAAAGCCTTTATTGAAGTGGAGAGTAGTTAATGGGAGGAAAATTGATGTTCTTAATGATATTTGGTTGTTAGACAAACGATTGAATGATTGGCCAGTTACAACAGATTGTGTGGGCTTAGAAGGTTTAAATCTCAGCCATTTCATTAGTGAGAATGGCTGCTGGGATCTTGAAGAATTGCAGTTCTTTTTCCATGAAGATATCATCACTATGGTATTATAGATTCCAATTGATAGGAATGTTAATGAGGATTACTTGGAAGAGATTTGTTCTCTTTATGGCAAATCCATCACAGCCCGTGCTTATGAAGTATACAGCAATTGAAACTGTGGTGAAGGTGACCTGGGATTTTATACATGGTTGAGGAAATTAAAACTTTCAGCTCGTGTAGAGCTTTTCTGGTGGAGATTGAGTAAAGCTGCCATCCCCACTAATGAATTTTTGAAATAGGAAGCTTACAAATGATGATTTATGTGCTATGCACCTGAGTATCCACCTTTTGATGGCTGCCTGTAGAGAGAGATAAAGATGAGGAAGAAGATGTGGAAGAGGTTGGGGTAGGCTTGAGAGAGAAAGAGATAGAGAGCGAGATATTGCTGTGTGTACTTTGTTGCATTTTTATTTATAGTCTGACTGAAGACTAAAAACTTACAACTACTTGGGAGGAAACCCAACTTTAGGTTTAGTAAGTTATCTAGTGTGACTGAAGGTTATAAACTTAGCGCTTCTAGGAGGTAACCCATCTGCGTGTAATATTAGTATCAATCATGTTTATGTGTGAATGCTATGCTATTTTCAACACATGTTTTATGTGCTCTTTATCATTGATATGAAAGCATGTTATTGTAGCGTTTGTTTATTTACATATTAGCAAATTCATTTAATGCTTAAATTAGTATTGTCCTTCCATAACATTTATATTCTAATTATTTAATTAACCTTTTATGAAAATGATAATAATAATAATAAAAAAATTAGGATAATAATAAAACCATATATTCTAGTTTGAATGAACTCTATTTGTTTTTCATAGGTTGGAAAGCTAATACTTAATTCATTCAACCATTTAAGCTATTATCCTAATTTAAATTTATAAGCTATATCTTTATGAATTTAACTTCTAAAATTTATAAGATGAATAATTAGTATAAAAATTAGATATGAATAGATTTAAATTTGAAATTCTAGCTAGCTTGAAGATGGAATTAGTAATCTCATCAAGTCCATACATTAAAATTATTAAGGTTGTATGAGAATCTAAAAGCAGAATTTGATATTCAAAATCTTTAATTATGTATTCCTGAAAATAAAAGAAAAAGAAAAAGAACTACAAATTTTTCTTAAAAAGAAAAAGAAATTAAAAATATCAAAAGAAAAAGATGACTATATTTAAAAATTTGTATCAGTAAAAGCTTAAGATTTGAAATACAATCTTATATAAAAACTATAAAAGATAAGATGAGAAAGACCTAATTCAAGGGATGGTGAACTAATGAAAATATAATTTAACTACAACTATATCCGAATATTAAAACTATGTTATTCACTTTAGCATTCAAAAGTTAATGAAAAATTTATAACTAATAATTTCAAATTAAGTAACAATAAGAATAATTGATTAAGTCTAACTATTGGTTTAATTAGAATTAAAGCTTTGATGGATCTTTACTAATTATAGAGAGTGATTTTTTATCTAATAATTTAATAATTTTAGGTTATCACTTTTTATTTTAATCAAAATAAAAAACTTTTTATTTGTTTTAGTATTAGTAAGAGCTTAAGCACGGGAGGATTTGATAAGTATAAATAATGATATAATTTATGTATTTATTTGTTAGTGAAAATATATTATTTAAGTTATATTTTTGCAAGAAAATATAGGAAATTTAAATTTTCAATTATGGTACATTATCGTGATGTCGAATATAATACTATCGTGGCACCATCATTGACACCGCTAGAGTGCTTAAAACATGGATATGGCGGTGCCTAGTCTCAGTTTGATAGCATTGAAACATCAGAAGAGTCAATGTCGTAAAGCCTAAATAACTATCCCAGTATTATAGTGTTAGAAGAGTCAGCGATGTAAAGCCCAGCTTTATCTGCACAAAATTGTGGTTCCATATTCTAACATCGATAAGTCAAGGGAGTGCTATATGGACATCGTAGTGCTCAACCAATAGAAGTGCTATAATTGTAATTTCTCAGGTCATAATCTACCAGTGAAGAGATGAATTTATTCATTAAATAGTGGGTTTATGTTTATAAGCACCACATCAAAGTAAACCCTTCAACAATGTGGCGTTAGTTCATTTTATGGGTGCCACAGCGTCTCTCGAGAATCACAATGCTAGAATTCATTTTTGTATTTTCTATAAATTTTATATCTATTATGTTAGTAAAGGAGTTCAGTCACTTGTTTATTTTCAGACTTTATAGTGCTTCTCTAATTTTTCCTCAGGCATGACAAGTAAGCAAATTTAAAGAAATACTAGATACATTCCGTTAGAGTGTTTGACTTATATTTGTGGAAGCAATTCTGTTAGTTCAAGGAGTATAGAAGAGACCATTGAACAATATAGTGATATCTTTTATTCTATACTTTCTTTCCTTTGTGTAATTAATGAAAATGAATATACTTCACTTATTTTTCATGTGTGGCTAAATTTTCTAGTTCTGAATTTATGGTGTAAATAAAATATGGAGTATTAATGAATTCTATTCATTAATAATTTTATGATGTTTTCAATATTCCAGGTCTTCATTTAATACAGAAAGTGGCCATATGTATAGTTAATATCAGGTGTAATGTGGAGCCTACGAATAGAAGAGCAGGAATAGTGAGGTATGTTGGATTGGTATGATGCAAGCATAAGCATAGGCATAGTGCTTGTCAATTTATAGAGATGAATTATCATGAGGGGATTTTTAACATTATATACTTTGTTTAGTCTTATAAGATTTTCATAAGTTGATAGACTATAGGAGTTTAGAGTCGTATTGTGGTTGGAAGAGTTTAATCTATCCTTTGTTTCTTCAATCTTGAATTAGCGATTGATGATGGATATGCTTGGAATAACATCAATATAAAAGAGAATCATTTGAAAACATATTGTATTTATATTCCATCAATCCAAAGCTATTTATTTAAATAGTGTCTCAATTAATTAAGTTTGATTTTAAATCATGTGATTGAATCTCTGCCAAAACTTATTTTAATTAAGTAGGATATTTATTATAGTTGAAGTAGATAATACTAGTACTTGCAAGTAAACTTTCTTCCTCGTGGAATAGATACATTACTAAATCACTATATCACTTGATTCAACACGTATATTTATGTATATTAAGTAGGGTTTTTATAATTTTTATATAGAAAAACCTAAACATTGTTTAGGAATTGGTAGAGTTAAAAATAATTTTCATAATTCTTTAAGTTATTCTACTACCCCCATCACTACAGAGCATATTTACCCAAATCAATAAACTCTGCCTCACACTACAATATAGTTTCGCTCCCCTAAACTAATCTCAAAAAAATCTCTTACATTTTTTGATGTGTAGAAGGTGGTACGAACCAGACTTTAAGCACATTAGAGGACTTCTCCCAACTACTTAGAGATTTTAATCTTCCTTGAATTAAATTTATCCTACTATTGGTCCGTCTTCCTTGAAATTTCTCTTCCTATTGGTCCTCCCACTAGCTCTTGTCCTCACTATTT